GTGCCACAGGCTTACTTCTATTCTTTCACTCAGTCTTCACAACACTGATGGATATTTGAAAAATGTATTAATTCTTCTTTAAAAGTTGGAATACAGGCAGAATCAGTTATGCACTGCTATATATCAAACTGCCCCAAAACTTAATGGCTTAAAATGATAGCCATTTGGTCAGCTCATGATTCTGGCGGGGGTTCTGGTTTGGGTCAGCTTCAACTGATCTTGGCTGGGCTCATGCATGCATTTGTGGTTCATAGGCTGACTCGCCTGGGGCTGGTCAGTTCTGGATGGCCTCCCTCGCATATTTGGAAGCATGTCCTGTAGTTTTGCAGTAAACATCTTTGCTGTAAGACAATTCGTGGTAAAAGATAAAAGAACAAACAATGAAAGAGGAGCATTAAAGGACACAATGAAACATTTAAAAATTAATAACAAAATCTAAAACTCTGCTGCGAAAAATGAAAATACATTGTCTTTGAGAGTTTTTGCTCATTATATTACACATTTTTCTTCCTTTTTCTTTTTGATTATGGATTTGTCTTCTCTTTTGGCTCTGCACTTTTTTTCTTTATTAAAATATGTGTCAGCCTTGGCCAGGTAGCTCAGTTGGTTAGAGGGTTGTCCCAATGTGCCAGGGTTGCAGGTTTGATTCCTGGTCAGGGCACATGCAAGAATCAACCCATGAATGCATAAATAAGTGGAACAAAATTGATGTGTCTCTCTCTCCTCCTCCCCTCCCTCTCTCTCAAAGTCAATAAATTAAAAAAATTTAAAAGTGGTATCAGTTTCCAGTTAAAGAATTGGTAATTAATGCTCTGGAAGACTTGTGAATTAGCTGCCTGTTTTATATTTGCCATATGTAGCTTTTGACAGGTGTGAGGGATGACTGTGCTCACCAAAGGATTTACAAAAACTGCTGATATATTATCATTTTCTACTATGGTATGTTATCTAACTTTACACATAGCTTTGCAATCTGGCTTTATACGTAGTTATTGTCATCCAGTATTTTAAGACTACTATGTCTACTCATCACAGTATAGACCATTATGAGGGCTAAAATTTATATAAGATGCAAATGGGAGTACTGAGAGAACTTCCTCAATGGAGAATGAAACCAAACTGACAAAAAACATGAAGTTTGCCAAATGTAAACCAAACTGTCAGCCAGTTATTTTAACTTTTATGGCAAAATGGCCTTATGGCCAATGTTGGCAACAAAAAATGTTTGCAGCAAACATACTTGTGGCAAAAATGTTTATGGCGAAACTACCTAGACCCAACTGGAATTTTGCTGATTATGGACCGAGGTAAGGGTGGGTGGCTGGGATATTAAGGTGCCTTTTTATTTGTTTTGTTTTGTTTGATGCTTTGACATCTTGGGACCTTGTTGACTCTGGAAGGGTGGCCCCTCCCAGGGCTAGCAAATTCTCAGGGATAAAAAACCCACCTACATACATGCCTTTCATATGCAAACCAGCCAATCCAGAGCCCTATCCCAACAGCACCCTTTCTCAGGTTCTCACAGGGAGCTACCATCCACCTGCCCTAATCACACCAACACCACACACCAGACCACTAGTGACAGTGCCTATGCCCTAGGGTCAAAATAGCCAACCCTAAAACTGCTTATGGTTTCCCAAAGGCACCACAATAAAGGCGCTTCCCACCTTTTCCTTCACCCATTCTGCCTCCTGCCCAATCCTGGTGTCTCTCTGGTGGCATGGCATCTCCCTCCTCTTGGGATCTGAGTATAACAGTCTGTCTTTTCCAAGTGGCAACTCCTAGTCTGTAAGCCTCTTTATAACTTGAAAAATAATAACACCTACAACTTCAGACAGCTGGGTCATGGATCATTTCCTCATCCAGCAGGCCAGCCTCGCCTTGCTCACATGCTGCAAGGTTCCAAGAGCAACAAGAGAACAAGGCCTACCAAACAAGTGCTTTTCAAGGCTCTCTGAATGTTCCTATCACATTTGCTGTTGTCTCACTGACCAAAGCAAGGTGCCTGGCCACACCCAGAGCCATGTGGGAGGAATGGCTGCAGGGAGCCAGGGCAGAGCGGGGTCATAGCTGTAATCAGTCCACCGAACAGGTGTCTCTGGAGGTTTCAGGTCAACTTCTCTTTGTCTTTGACAGTCATCCTCAGAGTTTGGCCACTGAAAGAAACAGATAATATTTGTAAAAATGTTACCACCTGTCATGATGCTAAGAAGTGTGATTCAAAAGCCAAATCTTATAAGCTGACTGAATTCTCTTTTACTTGGGGAAGGGACTGCTGGTGACGCGAGGACTTGGACAATATAAAGAATTTTGGGGTGGTGATTAGAGTCATTTTTGTCAAAACGCAGAGGGGATTGTTACCTAATAATAATAACCACAGAAAACTTGAGTATTGTGCCCCTAACACTCTCTTTGCCATGAACATGGTCACAAACCTTTTGACTGAAATTTATAGCATCTTTTTCTTGCAGCAGGCTGATTCTTTTCAGGTTTCTGTTCAAACGCAAACTATTGGGCCTTCTTCAGCAACTTTCGAAGTAACATTCTGAACTTCCTTTTCAAATTCCTCCTCCCCTTTACAATTATTCACCCATTATTGTCATCCCACATCAACCTGCTTACATTGTAAAGTGCTGTGGGGAGCCAAGTAGCCAAGGAAGAAAGAAAGAAAATAAATTGGAACAGGATGCCAAGTTGTATTTCCTCCGAGCATCAGTTACTTCCATGAAGCAGGAAAAAAAAACCTTTCAGTCCATTTATCCCAAAATCCCTGAAACAGTCATAAACAGGAGTAACCATATCCTTCCTCACAGGGAGTCTACTTGCTTGTCCTTGAACCTTAGATTTTTCTTTTATCTTAACAGGGAAATATGTTCCAGGACAATTTGGTGTGGGAATCCAATAGAAACTGCTGCAATTTAAGTTGTTTAAGTGTTCATTTTGACTTCTAGAACATGTATAGAATAAGCCTTATATAAACACTACCCTTTTAGAGAGTTTAGAGCTGCCTTGCCTCACCTCCCCCCGCCCCACACACACACACACACACTATTCTACTTTAAGAAGAGTCCCGAGGGGAGGACAAAATGGGGTTTTTGACGAGGACATAGTGTTGCTACACTAGATAGGGACAGAGTTTTTGTGGGATGATGAAGTAGTACTGGATGGGTGCCAATTGTTTCTCTTCTAGATTGTGATCTCTTGGACCCCTCTTCCCATCACTCTTCTTCTCTTCCATCTCAGGATACCATTGTGATAGGTCTGGGAAAGGGGACATCTTCTGTTTGGAGAAGTCAAATAGGAACAAGGGTGAGGTCAGGGGACATGCTTCTCAGTTAATTCCGAGGGAGAGAACAGTATAGGGACCTGGGACCAAACTTCAATGAAGAAAATCAATTTGTCTCTACGTAGCATCCTCTAGGTAAATGTCTATTGTGATTGCTGATTTGTGTAAATATGTGAATTCAGTATTCTGGTCATATCTCTTTCTATCAGAAAGTCATGATGTTTAGTAATCATTTCACAGGATTAATTTGAGTTTAAATGAGATGATGTCAATATAATCCCTCATTAAGTACCTAGTAAATAGATATACCTACTCACAATGTTACTTGTTAATTTCTAAAAATGTGGGTGTTTGGGGTTTGTAATAATAACTAACTTCTTTAGAATGTGAGTCAGCATGTGAGCTTTGGATTTGTGCTAATTATCTACCACATTGGCTATACAGTGTTTTATTCACAAGACTGGGTTATGGGCTTATTGGGTAATTTTGTAGCAAATATTTAGCTAAATGAATTAAAATGAACTGTCAAGAAAGTAAACGGACTTTCTTTGTTAAATTATTTGGCCAAGATTTTGACACCGTATCTTTAAAACACAAATTAGGTAATAAAAAAAGTATGGTATATTTTAAATTTCAGAGAACATTTATGATTTAATCTTAGAAAAAATATAAAGTTATAAAATTAGCATTTTTCTTTGGTTTCTTGAATGCATTACATTTTTCAAAGACCTGAAGAAATTCAAAGGTAACTAATGTTATTTCAGAGAAGAAAGGAAAAGAGAGTTTTGTGTTAACAGCTCAATATCAGTTTCCTGTAAAAGGGTCTCTCCCTTTTTAGTGATAGAGATTACATTGTTGGCCTGTGTTAAGCTTGTACAAATCCTTTTTGTCTAAATTATATAATTTGTATAGAATCTTTCTTAATTTTATACTTAAAGTAACAATATTAGGATTATTTACTTTAAATTGTGTTTAATAATACTTCTTTTCAAGCTTTGTTTCTGGATTTATTTGCTGGGAGAAGATCAGAGGGATGTCATTGTGCATGACTTTGATTTACATGCCTGATGTCCACCTGAACAGTGACTCATTTATTACTGGGTTAGGATGTGGGTGTCTCATATTAAGAAGACCCAATCTTGTTATTTAATATAAAACATACACCCTGGGGGATAAGGGAGAGGGATATGCCATTACTCAGTTAATACCCAATTCATACTTTTGAAATACTCCCTAAGATATATCAGGAAGATTTGGTGCACAGAAACAAACAAACACACACACACACACACACACACACACACACACACACACACACACGCGCGCATGCACATTTATTTTATAGGCAGTACAATAGAGTCATGGGTGTTTCATAAAATGGGGATATCATTGTGTAGCAATAAATCAAATGCCTGGATATAGCGCAAGTTCAAAAGGGCACTGCTGTTGTATCAGGGCTTTCAGGTTCTTTTATAAATATGCTAGTGGCCCGATGCATGAAATTCGTGCAATAGTAGGCCTTCCTTTCCCCAGCTGCCGGCACCGGCTTCCCTCTGGCACCTGGGACCCGGTCTTCCCTCCAGCCGCAGGCAGGCACCCAGGACCCAGGCTTTCCTCACAGCTCCCTGGCTTTGTCCAGAAGGTCGTCCGGTCTAATTAGCATATTACACGTTTATTATTATAGATATCCTGACCTCTTTATTTTCTTTTGCAGATGACCTCTCTCAACAGGAGGACAGTGATCCCCCAAAGGAATATGATCCTGGGCAATTTGCAGGCCTTCTCCATGGATCCTCTCCAGCCTGTGAGTCTCCTGAAAACCCATTTCATCTCTACAGGAAAAGAGATGAACGTGAAGAAGGACAAGATGAAATCATTTTGGCCAAGAATCCTCTGTCTTTCAAGCAGTCTCCCATAGAAAATAACTCAGAGCCTTTGGTAAAGAAAATTAAACCTAAGGTGGTCAGTAGAACAATTTTTCACAAAAAACCCAACCAAGTCGAAAACCATACCATTGTTGGTACAAGAACAAGTAGGAGTGGATCCCGGAATGGGGACCAATGGATTGTGAACACGGGGGGATTTGTGGAGAGAGCCTGCACCCTGGGGAGAATCAGGTCATTGCCAAAAGCCCTGATTGACATGCACTTATCAAAAAATGTGTCTAAGTCAGATTCTGATCTCATTGCCTACCCTTCAACTGAGAAAACATCGAGAGTTAACTGGAGTGAATCTTCCACTACTGAACACAGCTCGAAAGGGAATTCTGAAAGAACGCCATCCTTCACCTCAGAATGGGAAGAAGTAAGCTTTATTCTTCTTTATATGAATGCTTTGGAATCGAGGAAGGTTTTGGGGGGAGGATTTTTCAGCTATAAGTCTTTCAGAGGCAAATAGAAAAAAAAATTAACAATGCATACAGCTCTTAGTAGAAGGGAAAATTCTAGGGGCAGCACATGATAATTTAAAAACAAATAGAGTTTCACACATGTGGGGGAATCTATTGTTTCCATAGAAATTGATATCAAGCAGAAGTAATAACTAGCTATGAGGTGCAAGAGAATGTTCACATTATGTCTTCCCAAGCATTGCAGCTGACAAATTGAGAAAAATCTCTTGTTTTTGCTGCCCTATATCATTTTGCTTACTTACTAAACTCTTTGTTAGCTTCTTTGTCTCCCTTCTTTAAAGAATCTTAGATATTCAGAGGATCTCCACATAATCTTACAAATTACTTAATATTTCCTTTTTACAACTATCAGAGTGACTTTAAAGAAAAAAATGTGTTGAGGTCACGTATCAGCAATTTAAGCTCTACCTAAAGACAGAGTATTTAATTTCATAGAATTATTCAGAATGCAAGGGCCCTTGTAGGATTATGAAATATCATCCTTTGTCCCTAAAGAGGACTGCATCATGAAATAAAAACATTTCTTGCTTTTTTCTTGAAATTCTTCAAAGATTGGACCACAGTCTCCTTTGACATTTTATTCAAACATGTCACATTTTGTCTCTCAAAAGACTGTGCCAGTTGGATTGGGCGTTGAAACACCATAGGTCACTATAATACTCTGAGAACTAGAAATTGGAATGGTTCTGATATTGACATTCTGAATTGAGCTGTTAGGGGAAAATCACTCAATCTCCCTGCATCTGTTTCAGGGTGAACAAAATGATACATTGAAGTAATGCTTCTTGTCCCTTCTGAAACCTGCTGTCTGACCGGGGATGCTAAGATGACAAGGAGGGGGATTCAGCCATAGAGGGCTAAAGCTTTTTACAAAGTCATTTCTTCCTATATATTTCATACTACTAGAGAGATAGTTTGTTCGAGTCTATCCTTTACTTATATTTATTAACACTGTGAGTAACATCTGAAATTCTTTTTGGAACGAGGCAGGATTAATTAACATTTAACTTACCTCTTAGAATGAAGTTGTTTCCATGCCTCAATTCTTGTGATTACATGCCACAAGTCAGCTTGTGGCTGGTCAGACCGTTTAGTGAGAACCTGGTTCCAATGGCCGTGCCTAAGAACTGAAACCCACCCGTCAGCAGTCAGAGGAGACACGTGCCCCGCCCTTCTGATTCTAAAGAATGCACAATTCCTAATGTCCTGACCCAGGTAGTTCCAAACAAAGTTCATTTTAGGAAATACAAAGAAAAGTTGATTTTCAAAGCTTAAGAAAGGGAAACATAATTTATGTTTTTAAAAGCAATTCACGAGATGTATGTTTCCCTTTAAACCTTTGTCTGTCAGTCTCTTAATTGTGGTATTGCAGTGGTAGTAACATCAAGAATACACGGTGGAGAAAAGTGGGATTATACTTGTGCGAATGGAAAGTAATACCATAATTAATAATACAAGAATAAACTCTGTACTCACCACTGTAAACCTACTTTTTCCCCACCGGTATATGCTTGTAGCATTTGAAAGTTATTTTAAAATGCAATGCTAACGGTGAATGTAATCATTCACTTATATGCTTTTTGTTTCTTGCAGATTGACAAAATAATGAGTTCCATAGATGTTGGAATTAACAGTGAACTTGAAGAAATGAATGGTGAGGCCACAAGTAAGGAAATCTCTCCTGTATGTTATAAATGAATAAATGTGCACAGGACCGAGCTAGAAAATGATAGGAGTCTTTAGATAATTTTGGTTTATCATAACAACAGCAGCTATAAGTTATTTCCTTTTATTCATATCAAACAACCACAACCTCTAAACAATATCAATTATAAGTATATTGATTTAGCACACTGAGATATTTTTTCCCATGTGCTGTTTTACTATGCCAGTTAACAGTAATAGAGTTTCAATTTTAGGTAGAGCTAATTATGAAGCACTTCAAGGTGTTGTAGAATCTGATGACTTACTATACTACTGTTGCTCATTCAGTGAAATGTCCCATTTTTCCTGGCCAAAATGATTAGCAACATGTAAGTTGTCAACTCCAGTGTGGCAAGAACTGTGTGTTACTCATCTTCATGTGTTCCAGAATGTCTATCAGGGTGTCTCACTAATAGTCAGTTTTTCAATCTGTATTTAATCTATTACCCGTATGAAATACTGTTCCCTTCCCTACAATTAAGGCTCAGAGTAAAGGCCATTTGAAACTTTCTTTGAAGATTTTTTGCTTAATACTGATGGATGGTGTCAATTACCAGATAGCTACACCTAAAAAAGGCTGTAATAGTCCTACTAAAGGAACTACTATTCTGGAAAGAGTCAAAGGATCTGGCTCCAGCTCTACCCTGCCACTAAGTAGAGGTGTAACTGTAGATTAAATAGATCTATAGAATTTGGAGTTAAAGATAGGTGACTTCTAAGCTCCCAGAAAAACTCGTGTTGTTAGTGGTAATCATTGATGTTTCTACAGAGATAATGCAATTAAGATTTGTGTAAGAGAAGTCTGAATATATATCATTGGGTAAATACTGTAATTACGGGATTTTGTGGCCCTTTAACTAATTACAAGGGCCCTTTAAACAGCATTCCAAGTGACTCTGAATCACAGGTAAGTTGGAGAATGGTTCTCTTGTGAGGCGCTGGGCCTGGGGGATAAGCAATGACATTGAAATCGGGCTCCCCTCACTGGAGACCCCTGTAGGAGTATCTCACTCATGTCTCAGGAGTGGGATAAGTAAGAACTTAAATTATTCTGACATAATTGGTCTCCATGTTAATTAAGTGATAATTTTTAAAAAGCTTAAATAATTTTTTATGAAATGCTTATTCGTTTTAGATTTTGAAAACTGAAACATTATGGAAAAGCACCAAAATTGTGTGTATATGTTTAGTGACCCAAGTGCATTAGCTCTGTGACAGCATGTGTGGCCAGGTCTCTCACACAGAAATGCTGACAGAACTTAAAGACTTTTCTAAGTGTCTGTAGAACTGGTCTAGGAATGTATGTTGCCACACAGTTCTTTCGGACGTGCTGATAGAATAATTTCAAGTTAGCTGTAGGAGTACATGTCTTGGTCAATATAAAGGTAAGACTTTATTTTCTTATACATAGTGAATTCTCTGACACTGAGAATGTCCGAGCAGAGCCCTGGTACTTTTCTGGTGGAAGACTTAAGTGCCATTGAACATTAATGTTCTAAAATTCTTCAAACACATAGTACCATAATATTGTGAAAGAATGTTACAAACATGATTATAATGAAAATAAGGGTAAATGTTAAAAATGCCACTCAGGCAAAACTGCCTCTGTAGGACATTTTAGCCATAAACAAATCCATTTTCCCTTAGTTAGCCTCCTTCCACCTCTCACACTCCATCCTACCTGCTGCCTTTTTTTTTTTTTTTTTTACTATTTACTACAGTGGTAATGAAAATAGACACTCAGTGCCCAAGACTGAGTACTGTATGCATCTTAATTGTCACTTCTTAATTACACACTAATATGCGACATTAGTCGCATTACAACTGGCCATGAGGCCCTTTGTGGATTATAGCCTTACTGGGCTGTAGGCTTTTGCCTCTGGAGCCTGGATAGCACTAGAGAAGTGATAGCCCCATGAAGGTGACCTTCCACAAGTATTGTATCAGGTATGAGTATGGTGGGAGAATCACATGGTGAAATTAAAAAGTCAGACTGACATGAATTCAAATCTCAGCCCTGCTTTTTACTAGCTCATGATTGTAGGCAACTCACTCAGTTTCCCCAAAGACAGAAATAGGGATATTGATATCGAGTAATGCTAGAGAGGTGCAATGGAATATTTGTAGAGTCTGACACCTGTAGATATGTATTCTATTTCATCTCCCCCCTTACCCTACCAGGAGGGAGACGTTGAATTTGATACTGTGGACACATCAAGATAAACACATATCAGTGTTTATCTTTCTTGAAGAGCTAATGATGGTAGCTAGTCTCATGGTCTTCACATTAAATTTGCTGTATTTCCTGAAATTGTAGTGTGTCGATTGTAATACAGCTGGTAGTAAGCCCAGAGTCAGTTGGTACCAAAGAAGAGTGCTTACCAAAAGAGAATATAAAACTTCAGGGGACCCTCAAAAAGAAAAGAGAAAAATTTAGGATGTAATGATTTAAATGGTCTAAAGTATTTTTCTGAGGTCTGAGTATTCTCTTTTTGCCTGACAATGGGGAGGAGTGGCACAATGAAATTAACATCAGGTAAACTTGGAATGAGCAAGAGGAAATACCACTGTTGTCAGTGTCTAGAATTTTGCGTTCGAAGGCCACTGAGCCAAGCACTGTGCCTGGCTTTAACAGAGCTGCATAGTTTTATGAGCATGGATGGTATTTGTGAACCTTAGAAGATGACAGAATAAAATCATAAGCAGTGGAAATACATGAAGAATCAAGGATCACTGTTTAATTGTCCATGCCCTTACCCATTTTGTTTCAGTGTTTTTGTTTGTCCCTCAACCTGCACATCTGCAATTTCAGGTATTTTATAAACAGAATACTCATTGGACCAGGAAGGGATTTGAAACACTCTCATCTTCACTCCTGTTGACCAGTCTCTATGAATCATATAACTAATTCCATTCGTAGAAGCCACTTTCTTCTTTTTTTAAAGGATTCCTCAGCAATTAATAGTTTGAAACTTATCCAGCAACCTCAACTGTCCAGTGCTAAGATAGAAATAAAAGTAAATACAATTTACTGCATTTATTTTCAGTCAGTCCCTTAGGGTTCTCACTCAGAGTAATACTAACTCAAGATTTCCACCAATATAATTTCTAGTTTCCCACTTGAAATCAGATTTAAGTGCCCAACCAACCAGCATTGGCAGCAGGATTCAATTATATTGAATACCTCATATGATGTAGCACATCCTATTTTGAGGTGATGCTGCGATGAGTTAGTACATTCTACGGAATCATGAAATCTCATGTATAGAATTTTTTTCAGAGGACAAGTCTTTAAGTTATGTGGACTTGGATTGAGACCCCAGCTTTGCTTTGTGATCTCTTTGATGTCAACTTCCTCACCAATAAATTCAGATTTTTTTAATAATCATATCATCAGAATGATGCAAGATTAAATCACACAGTTGTACTACTGTAGTCTAAAATGTACCAAGTGATCAATAAATATAAATTCTCTTGCTTCTGATCCCAATATGCTTGGCTATCTTTCCAATTAGAGTGTACACCACAAAGGAAGATACTTGGGAAATCTTGCTTGTCTTTTTGATCAGTGAGGATTGTAGTTAAGAGAGAACTGCTTATATTCTAAGTTGCTTTTGTGTGGAGTCTTTTCTGAAGTTTTACTTCTTTTTTAAAATATATTTTTATTGATTTCAGAAAGGATAGGAGGACAGTTAGAAACATCAATGATAAGATAGAATCATTGATTGGCTGCCTCCTGCATGCCCTCCACTGGGGATCAAGCCCGCAACCCAGACACGTGCCCTGACCAGGAATGGAACTGTGACTTCCTGGTTCATAGGTCAACACTCAACCACTGAGCCACACTAGCCTGGAAGCACTTTCAAGGTAGAAAATCTATTGAAAGTACTGCTTCAGATTGTCACACTTTCTAAGAGTCAGTTTGATGATCTTCTTGATGAGATTGAAGATCACTTAAGTAAAGAGGAGGCTATAATTGGCTCCAGAGCAATCAAATGCCCAGACTTTCCATTACAGCGGTGGCAGGTAATCTTAGAAACACTGTCCTTGAATAATGGGCTTGAATAATCTCTTGTTACACTAAACAAACTTCAGGTCTATGGACTGTATTAAAATGAACTCAAGTACATGAATGTGAAAAATAGTATTTAGTTCACAAGTACTTTTTTTTTTAAGACTGGGATTTTTTTTCTTATACTTAAGGTTAAATTGTATTCAAAGAGAAATATTACCCAGTCTTATCTTTTAAAACCTACTTTTGCCAATACATGAATTCCATCTAAATTTTAATTATCAATGAAAGCTATTAAAATGAATTTATAGAGGATTTTACCATAGGCTACACTGTCTATATTGGGTAAAACATAATTCTTAAGTTGGAAAGCACATAGCTCTAAAAACAGTAGCTAACATTAGTCCCACAACCCGACTTTCTAAGCTTTTGCTCCTCTTCCTCCAAGAATCTGAGGGCCAGGTTAGAGTCCCTCATCCTCCAGGAAGAGTTTCTAGGAACTAAGGAACTCTCTAAAGCAGTGGTTGGCAAACTCATTAGTCAACAGAGCCAAATATCAACAGTACGACGATTGAAATTTCTTTTGAGAGCCAAATTTTTAAAACTTAAACTATATAGGTAGGTACATTGTTATTCACTTAATTAGGGTACTCCTAAGGCTTAGGAAGAGCCACGCTCAAGGGGCCAAAGAGCCACATGTGGCTCACGAGCCGCAGTTTGCCGACCACGGCTCTAAAGCATAGGCCATGTTCTGTCTTCTCACGGTCCAAGTCTCACCTTCTCCTTGGTCTGCAGGAATAGAGGGAGTTTACATGGGCTTTTCCCAAAGAAGGGCTGGCAAGGGCAGATCTCTCTCTCCAAGCTCTGGAAGCTGCTCCTCCCTCACGTCTTGCCTGCCTCCGGGCCTCTGAGTTTTGCCCATGGAGCTCTAGATCTGCCTCAGGAGGTGC